GATGTTCATGTTAAAGAATATTCTCTTGCCACATATGAACAATTCATATTTAGATTCACAAAAAAAATAAAATAAAATAAAGTTGGTATGAAATCAAACAAAAAAATTAAGTTGCTTTCTGATTGTGTGGATTTCAAGAATTACCACATGTGCTTTGTTGAAGACATTTCTTCAATTTTTTTTGGCTTTTTGAGTTGATATTGCGGTATTCCAATGATTTGGGAGTTATTGAGTTGATATAAACTCAATAGTGATGATTTGGTGTCTCGTGGATTACGAGTCACTAGGTTTTTATTTTTGAATGGTGAAACATTCCAAGAGCAAGTAAGACACGGGCAAAAATGCACAAATGATGCAGGTCAAGATGCATGCTCTTAAAAGACAGAGAGAATTGCAGCGACTTTGAAGAGCAGGTTTGCACGTAGTGCTTAAAAAAATTGATGAATCAGAATTAATGGTGATAAGCTTGATCATGGGCATGACCAAATTTGAAGAGGTTGATTCAAGAGAGACTCTTGGAATTTGACTCAAACTCCTTAGTTATCATGACTGAGAGTTTGTTGGATAATTAATGTGAGAATCATATATAAAATATGATTATATTTGAAGAGTTTTAATATACCATAAATAGGTTTGCTAGAAATGTGATAGGAAAAATAAGGATAAAGTTGTATCTAAATAGTTATGGATTATAATATTTTATCCCTATAAATAAGGTTGAGTATTATGTAATCAGCTACCAGATGACCAGTTCAGTGAATAATACATCGGTGTAGATTTTTGGTCCGTGTATGTAGGTACGGTATACTAATATGAGCATATTGTATCGAACCACGTTATATATTTGTGTCATATTATTTATTGTTTTCCTTTATTTGAATCTTCTATCTTCTAATAAGTATTACTTATGTTAATTATTTATTGTGTTAAACCAATAAAAAGTATCCACTTTTAATTTTAATTAATAATATTCGACCCATTTTTACCGTACAAGTAACATCATCAGGGCATTCCAACCACAATTTTCAATGGTGGTGAGGTCCATGAGCATGACATTTTTGTATTCGTATTGATAAAATCAACTTGAAAAAATTATAGTTGAACCTAAATTCAAACTTGAACGTGACTAAAGAGTTAGTACGTAGTGTAATAACCCTCATAAATAATTTTCTAAACATTTTCTGGATAGAGTTGAAAGGAATATGTTAGAGGTTTCGATTATGTTAGTCCTGCCCTGTGTTTTTAAGATAGGATATACTATGACTTGGAGGAGGAGGAGGAGGAGGAAGAAGAGGAAGAAGGGAACCAGTTTTCTCTTGTAATTAATTGACAACCTTCTCACTGATTTGGAGGCTATTCAAAGCTGTGGACAATGGACAATGACATAGTCGTTGCCTGTGTTCAAACTAAGTTGGCCTAACTAGGTTGACTGATTTCTACTATGGTTAAGCTTCAAGTAGATAATCTATTAAGTCACAAAACTTTTAGTTATTCAACTTAACACTGATAAATGTTTAACACGTAACGTGTGTCGGTAATTCGTAATGAAATACTATCAACTTTTACGCGGCTCAAAGTATGAGTTTTGCAAAAGTTGTCTTAATTTACTCCATGTGTATAATTCATTAGTCATTAAATTCATTCCAAAAACTCCCTTACGTCGCTGTACACCAATACGCAAAAAGCTGAATGCCCATATGGCAGATAGTGTTGACTTGAATATCTTAGTCCAAGTCGTTGTGCACTTACTCTGAATGTTCCAAAAAGGTGTAAGAATCGTGTGGTTCATTCCTCACCTAATACACTTTGAGCTTGATGGGTACACAGCCCACTTGGTGCAGAAGCAACTAGCAAGTTTCCAAGAATAGGCTGATGCTTAAGATGAGTCCCACACTCGTTGATTTAAGTATAAGAACAAATGGGAGGAGGAAGATTCTGTATGAACGGAACTTTTGGTCATCACTCATCAGCGTCTATTTGACCACTTAATGCATATAAAACAGCATTTGAAAAAATTATTCTTGAGCTTCAAAGTTATTTTACATCACACATTGCAATTTTGCCAATGCAAGTAGGATGAGAAGTGGTGTTTTCAGGGGGGACAGATTCTTGTCCTTGTGATTTCAGAAATTACATCGTTTTCTCTTGAATCAAAAATTTTTAATTGAAGGAATTAAACAAAATCAATTAATTTATTATATTACACTTTGTTTATTTACATTTTTCAATCAAATCACTTGCTTAATGCTCTGTTTGGTATGATAGAAAAATAGAAACATAGAAAGTAGGAAGGATGAAAGTAGGAGTGAAACATTTTCTATCTTTCAAGGAAGGAAAATAGAAATGATATATTTTTCTTCCTTTGTGTTTCGTTGGATAAATGGAAAAAAAAAATTACTAATTTTTTTTTGTAGTGGTCAAGATTAGAGGTGATAATCTAGTCGTGTTATGTCAGATTCGTGTTTGAGTTATTACGAATTTGTGTTGAACATTAATCAAACATAACTCAACTCATTTAACTAATTGAGTTGCATCGAATTGCTAGTTGACCTGTTTATTTTCGTGTGTTTGTGTTGATTCATATAAATTTTGAATAAAAAATTTAACGCTAATATTCTATTTTTACTTAATTGAATTCATTTTAATATTTTTTCTACAAACTAAAAATTAAATTAAATAAATATAATAATAACAATAAGTAAAAATATTTTTTTATATAATAATTATATTTTTTCTTATTCGGGTGTTAGGTTATTTTCAAGTTCGTATCGTAAAATTCGTATAAAGTTCAAATTATGTCATCGTGTTGAGTTGAAAATTTTCAACCTTAACTAAGATGAAAAAAAAAAAATTTAATTTTTAATTTTTAATTTTAATTTTTTAATTTTTTTTAAAAATACATATATAAATATATATTTTATCATATATTTATATATATATATATATATATATATATATATATATATATATCAAAATATATATAGAAAAATAAGATAAATCTCAATATAAATAATTAATTTTTCATCCGCTTTCTTTTTGATTTTAGAGGGATTGATTTTGATGAGTTAGAAGAAAAGTTAATTCATCCACTTTTCCACTCTTCCTATTTTATTTTCTTATCAAACATGATGTTTTATTTATCCCTTCAACTTTTTTTATCTTTCTTTTTATCCTTCCAATTTTTATCCTTTCAATTTTTTATCATACCAAATCGAACATTAATATCAAAATCACGAATATTACATGTAATCTTACGGTGAATTAGGCTAGGTAAACTCGATCTCGTTGCTTTCAAACTATACGTGGTGAAATTATTATTTATTGAGGATGAGAGATTCTATGGATGCTTTTATTTAAAAGATAGTTATTAAAAGTCAAACTTCTCATCTTCCACTTTATTTTGTGTCTCTGTGTGTCTGCTTGGAAATCAAATTCAGACACTAGAGAGCAAAAGGAGGCTCAAAAGACGGACGGCAATTGCGTCACGTGTCTGAAGTTTGAATGTTGAAAACCAGTTTTATGCACCTTAAACATCACTCGCAGTACTTAGTTGTCTGAAATTGAAAAAAACTCATTCAAAAAGTATCCAGTTGGTGAATTCCAGTTCATAACGATGATGATAAGTCAATAGACCGCCCATCACAAAAGAAGCAGAGGACTTGTAAATTTCATGCAAAGCTCACCAATCTTATAAAATTAGAGAGTGTTCTGTATTAAACTATCTTTTTTGTGAATTGTGTATATATCAAAACGGCCCAAAGATCTCTAACTGTCTATCCTTAAGTTAGGGTTCTAAAAGTTTAAACATGTACATTGCGTTTACATCGAGGAGACCTCGTGAGACGCACATGCTGGCATATAATTCTTCATTTGACATTATGATAAGCAGCGTATTAATCGGTTTGAGTAATTTGTCAACTATAATGCAAAAATCAGCCTATGTGAACCCCTTTCGTCTGATTGCCGTTTCTGTGGACGTCACATGAATAGAAAACGAACATAGGAAAAACCACATAAACCAAGGATGTAAAACCAAAAAAAGGATGGACTGTATCTCTGTTTTCACTAACTTGTCACTGTAAGTTATGTAACATGAATAGTACTTGGCAATTGATAAAGCAGAAAAATCCATTGGAAAGCAGACTTTCCTACAAGGATATTTGAAGAGAACAAAAAATAAAGGCCTTATAATTGTAGTTATAAGTAAAACTCTTTTACCAAAATTTTCTTAACAATCAATCAGTATCAGTGGTTGAATTAGTGGGTCATACTGATTTTCACTAATCATCCGATGGTTGTCAACAAGCCACATCATTTGGTATTTAAAATTTAATATACACATCATTATTCTTCTTTGTCATGGTGGTTTTAGGGTATCACACAGGTTAAAAAAACAAAGAGGGTAAAATTAATGTAATCGTTTTTTATTTTGGGCTGATAAATGATCGTGGTTGAAAATAATCTTCAGAAACTCCAAAGAAGAGTTCAAGTGTTAATAGAGACGAGCCGTATAACAGGAAGTTTTGGTTAGATTCAAATTTTGACAACTCTTTGGAGCTAGGTCATGAGAGATTTATCTCTCATAAATACTCTAGTCCTAACGTAGATGACATAATTTGACACTTTTAGAAAAAAGATTAATCGAGGTACGCGTAACTTGACCTAAATATCCTTGACCGTTAAATAAAAAACAAAACAGAGAAAAGAAAATAATCGGTCAGTGATAGAGCATAAAATCTAAATAATATGAGGATGTGGCCAGATTTCAACATCTAAAAATTTTGGTATATAAAGCATTTTTCAAAAATATAACACCGTTGTCTTCATCTAAGACTCTTCAAAGTCAAACAAAAACGTTAACTTCCAGACTCTCTCTCTCCATATAACACTGACGTTTCTATATTTTCAGAGTACAAGTGCCAAATCATTTTGGTGTCTTTTGGAACTCGTCTTCGTTCTCCTCTGTTTCGTCTCCCTTGTTTTTCTGGCGCTGTACAGCCATGGGAACTCAAGCTCCAACTGACCAGAATTATTACTCCAATAATGTGAGCACATCTCTCTCTCTCTCTCTCTCTCTCTCTCTCTACAGTTAATAGACATTAATGGAGGCCTGTAATGCTTTCGTCCTAGTAGTACACAAATTTGTTGGAGTTCTTTATCTTTAATCTACAGTTTTGCGCATCGACATAATAAAAGAGAGAATTTGGACTTTTCCTCCTTTTCTTGTGGTTAGAACATCATATTCTGGCGCAAGAAAATTTAACTCTGTGTTTAGCCCTTTCAGAACAAAGTAGCAATAAACCTGAATAATACAAATCGGTTCATGTGCATACAGTTCATCTTCCTTCACAAATTATAGACAATTGTCCTTCCTTAGCTACTTGCTAGGCCCTCCCTCTTTCAATACCCTTTTCAAATTTTTACCTTCTTTTTTCAAGATTCAATAGATGCGAGCTGTGGACAGCGTCACTCAAATTTTTTGGGTCAAGTCACCAAGAATTCATTCTTGGTGAATTTTTTAGTTCCGACGGAAATGATTTGTGTTTAATCAAACTTCAAAATGCGTATAAGTTGATCCCATGACCATTGAACTAAAAAAAAATAAAAAATAAAAATTCGAGGGGACACATTATTATTATTGTTTTCCTCTACAGTAAAGGGAATAGGATCCCATCCCACCACGGGCAACACGATAGGATGAAACAACCTAGTTGGACTGGAACCCTTCTAGAGTCGTCGTTCAACTTACGGCAACAGCAGCCAGCTTGATTCATAAAAGATTCTAGCTGGCAACATATTAAACACACAACAATATAATAATAGAGTTTTTCAAAGTTGACCCAAAAAACTTGGTATAATAGTAGGCCATCCCATCCTCCAATCTAATGATATTTGCTCATGTTTTGTTTTCATACACTACCTTGCTTCACTATCATCCATCCTATGGTCTCACCGTCTTTTGTGCCACTGATTCCTTGACTTCCCTCTGATTGGATCAATCCCCTTTAGAAAAATTTACATTTACATTTACAGATATGATATGTGTCACAATTGAATTCACTATAATTGACATACCATTAAAAAAGTTGATGGAAAATATATATCTGATTAAAAATAACCGAATTTAAGAGACAACCATGTGCTTTCGGGTTTCACCTAATTCATATTTATTAGGATTAAGATTAGGATTAGGATTAGGATTAGGATTGGGATTAGGCTCAACCACATGGTTTGCTACATCCTGGTCATCACGTAGAGTGTAACGGATTTTGGAAATCCAATATTAATTAGGACGGCTGCCAACTTTGCATATTCTCTGCCAAGTTGCCTGTAATATATATATATATATATGGAAGGTGGATTCATTCATTTCATTGTTTATATTTCCTGAATCAAATATTATTTTGAACATCTCTATTGCTGATGTTTCTTTGGTACTTCCCTATAATATGTTAAAAAAAAATTACAATCATAACTTACAACTGAGAAAGAAGGTAAATAATTGTTCACTTCTGAGTTAACAGCTACTACCAAAAACATTAACAAAAAAAAAAAATTTATTTGATTACCAACAAATGGTATTGTGAATTTCGAAAATACCACTGATTCATCCAGCAATATGACAAAAAAAAGGGGGGGGGGCAACAGAACCTGATAGCTTCCGATAACATGAATGACAACAAACATGTTAGCCATTGCAATGAGCCACACAGGTTTCTCTAACGAAATGAGGATATTGTCTACCACAGAATTCCCAAAAATATAATATCCGATAAGAGCAACAGGAAAGTAGCACAAGGCCACAACTATATAGGCAACAATCACTCCCCTCCACATTGGCCCCTTGGATGGCTTCTCAGGTGTGGAAGGAATTGTTGCCTGAATCTCCAAGACCACATTGTGCCCAGCATAGGCAAAAGCGACATCACCCAAGGCTCCAAAGAAATCAAAAACTTTGCCTGGACGACTTCAATTGACAAAGGTGTAGTACCGGATGTACAATACAGCTACAAAGCTAAGAGCACAGCAGGCAAAGTTTTTGATTTCTTTGGAGCCTTGGGTGATGTCGCTTTTGCCTATGCTGGGCACAATGTGGTCTTGGAGATTCAGGCAACAATTCCTTCCACACCTGAGAAGCCATCCAAGGGGCCAATGTGGAGGGGAGTGATTGTTGCCTATATAGTTGTGGCCTTGTGCTACTTTCCTGTTGCTCTTATCGGATATTATATTTTTGGAATTCTGTGGTAGACAATATCCTCATTTCGTTAGAGAAACCTGTGTGGCTCATTGCAATGGCTAACATGTTTGTTGTCATTCATGTTATCGGAAGCTATCAGGTTCTGTTGCCCCCCCCCCCCCCCCCCCCCCTTTTTTTTGTCATATTGCTGGATGAATCAGTGGTATTTTCGAAATTCACAATACCATTTGTTGGTAATCAAATAAATTTTTTTTTTTTTGTTAATGTTTTTGGTAGTAGCTGTTAACTCAGAAGTGAACAATTATTTACCTTCTTTCTCAGTTGTAAGTTATGATTGTAATTTTTTTTTAACATATTATAGGGAAGTATCAAAGAAACATCAGCAATAGAGAAGACCTGCTGTTTTAATTTGTTGTTTATCAATTTGATCGAGTCGTTAAGTCTGAAGCTTACACATTGATATTTCTAAATTACTGGTTGAACAGCATAGTATGGATTATGTAGTTTGATCCTTCTGTGAAAAGCATGCAAAATTTGATGAAAGAAATGTCTTCATCAATTCCAGGTTGATGAACGAACTGCAAAGGAAAAGGCAATTGATGACTGGCTTCCTATTACTTCATCAAGGAATGCAAAATGGTGGTACTCAGCCTTCCACAATGTCACTGCCATGGTTGGAGCTGGTGTCCTGGGTCTCCCGTTTGCCATGGCAGAACTGGGATGGTATGATCAAATTGAGACCAATAGAATTGTGTCTGATAATATTTGAAACTTTAGACAGCTTTGTCATAACCTTTCCAACATAAACTTTTAAAAGACTATGATTTAATTTATCTAGGCATGCTTTGAATTTTGTGCATGAAATGTCTCGATTTTGAAACGAGTTGTCATTTTGCAGGGGACCTGGTGTAACTGTGTTGGTCATATCTTGGGTTGTCACTCTATACACTTTATGGCAAATGGTTGAGATGCATGAAATGGTACCTGGGAAGCGTTTTGACAGATACCATGAGCTTGGTCAGCATGCTTTTGGTGAAAAGCTTGGTCTATGGATAGTAGTGCCCCAACAGCTAATTGTAGAAGTTGGTGTTAACATAGTCTATATGGTCACTGGAGGGAGATCACTGAAGAAATTCCATGATATAGTGTGCAAAGATTGCAAAAGTATCAAACTCACTTACTTCATTATGATCTTTTCCTCTGTCCATTTTGTTCTCTCCCATCTCCCAAACTTCAACTCCATTTCTGGTGTGTCTTTGGCAGCAGCAGTCATGTCTTTGAGGTATATTATTATGTTTCCTCTATGCAATTTTATCATATTGTTGGGAAATTATTTTTATGTTACTGTAGCACATGATTAAAAACCACGCTTCTGGCTAGTGAGCTTCTGCTACAGAGATTATAAGGTGCCGAGAAAAATAGTCAACCTATTGAATCTGTTTATCAACCTTTAACTGCTGCCATACAAGCGCCTAAAAAACAAACATTTGCCTTGTTTCAAGCATAACACGTTTGATCTTGTTGCCACACAGCTACTCTACTATTGCCTGGACGACTTCAATTGACAAAGGTGTAGTACCGGATGTACAATACAGCTACAAAGCTAAGAGCACAGCAGGCAAAGTTTTTGATTTCTTTGGAGCCTTGGGTGATGTCGCTTTTGCCTATGCTGGGCACAATGTGGTCTTGGAGATTCAGGCAACAATTCCTTCCACACCTGAGAAGCCATCCAAGGGCCAATGTGGAGGGGAGTGATTGTTGCCTATATAGTTGTGGCCTTGTGCTACTTTCCTGTTGCTCTTATCGGATATTATATTTTTGGGAATTCCGTGGTAGACAATATCCTCATTTCGTTAGAGAAACCTGTGTGGCTCATTGCAATGGCTAACATGTTTGTTGTCATTCATGTTATCGGAAGCTATCAGGTTCGAGGCAAACTTTTTCAGCTATTTCAAAAACAGAAAAAAAAATTTCACTGACCAGTTCAAATATAAGATGAGTGTTTTCCAAATTGTGTTCAATTTGCTTTTATGTAGATTTATGCGATGCCAGTCTTTGACATGTTAGAAACTGTGCTGGTAAAGAAATTGAAGTTCAGGCCAAGTTTCATGCTTCGCTTTATTACAAGAAATTTATATGTTGGTAAGTTACCAACCCATTTTTCCCCTTACTGCTTCATATTCAGAAGCTTGTGGTATCACTGCAGATATATTTCCTTTAAAGCTGATATATATATTTCTTTGCTTACAGCATTCACAATGTTTGTTGGTATTACCTTCCCATTCTTTGGTGGTCTTCTTTCATTCTTCGGAGGATTTGCCTTTGCCCCAACAACTTACTTCGTAAGCAACTCTCGATCTCTTCTTGTCACTGCAACTAAGACATCATATCAGTTCTTGATATATCTTTTCTGTCTGTCCCCAGCTCCCTTGCATCATGTGGCTCGCTATCTACAAACCAAGGAAATTCAGCCTATCTTGGATTGCTAATTGGGTATGTTGTGCCATTTGAAATGTCCCATCTCTCTCTCTCTCTCTCTCTGTCTCTCTCTCAAGCTTGTTTAATTTGACGTGGCTTCGGAATTAAATTCAGATCTGCATTGTGTTGGGAGTTCTTTTGATGGTTTTATCACCAATTGGAGGGCTAAGGCAGATCATACTTCAAGCCAAGGGCTATTCATTCTACTCTTAAGCGTCCGGCAACCACAAAGGAAGAAGCGGTTCAAGAATCTTACAATAATATTGAAGCAGAGCCTGATCATACAGACAATGACCAGAATGATAAATGGGCGGGTTTTGTCAAGCAATCACTGGACGAACCTCACTAGGATTTCTGGACTATGAATACATCGTTGTTTCTATAGAAACGGAATTGGGGCCATGGGATCAGCTGAACAGCTTTCTCTGGAGGCCTTTACTGTTGCTGTTTTTCTTTTTCTTTTTTTTCCCCCCTAATTATCGTGTGTATACATACCTTTGAGTATTTTCATGTTTTGATTTTTATAGCTGAAATGAAGGTGGGTTCCAAAGTCTTCTGAGATTATGATGAGTACAATATTCTGTTTTTCTGAATGCAATTTCTATGTAATCATTCAAATTGTTGGTAATTCTAATGCAAAAAATTGAGGAGTTCCAGAAAACAAGATCACCTGCTTAACTGATATACAATTTCCAGGTGGTTTGCGACTGTCGTGTTTTGCTACTACTGTTTTTATTCTCTGTCTTCCTGTACTAAACTATCAATTTCCTCTCCAAACTATCCTGACAATTTGTCACAACTCATTATAAAGTATAAACTTGCAGTTTTCATCATATTGCTCTTTTCTTGTTCATCTGAGAACCGAAATTCATGCCTTGCCCCTTGCAGGCCACATTCTGAAAACAATTTGCAATTTTCCTTCCTACATGCTCAATAATGATCAATTCAGCCTGATAGTTGCTCTGACATTTTCAGTACAATCAATTGCATCACAAAAATGCTTAGGCCAAATCAACTAAGATCAATTTTTTTTGTCCCCACAAAATGTTATGCTTATCAATTTTTTTTATCAAATCTCCATCTGAAATGACATGTCACAGTTTTTTGCCATCAAATAAGTGGGTCTCATTAATATTTAATGACAGAAACTGTGCCACATCATTTGAGATGAAAGATTTGGTAAATTTTTTTGGTAAGCATGGTATTTTCCTAACCCACCTTAAATTGAAGAGTGAGCTACTTGTCAAATCCATCCTACAACAAGAATAATGAAACAAATGACAAGGAAATGGACTGCAATTCAAACTTGCTAATCATGGAAAGAGGAATGTGTTACATTTTCCCTCGAGACTTCCTGTCTTGCTGCTTAGATATCAAGAGAAAAACAAACTGATACTTCCAACTCTCCTTCAGATACTCTACCATGTCATCAAAGCAGTTATTTGATTTTCTCGATAATCGAAAAAATAATCCCGCGACAAAATTAAGGTTGTTAGGGTCATTAGACACAAATAAAAGCCTTAAACTAAACGCTAGTTGTGTACAATCTGGCTGAGTATCTGGAACCGTATCCAAAACTACCAGTTAAGATTCCTTGCATCTTTCATCATTGTGCTGCATGCTAGTGTCCTCTCTCTGTGATGGCGATCTCTAAATTGCCTTAGTACTTAACGACATCTTTTAATGCTATTTTTTGTCTTTGAAGTCGATCTAAATCGATGTTAACAAGAACAGTTGTTTTATTCCTGCCGGCAGCAATCACCACCCATTGCATCCTTTTCCGAGCTTTATTATATCATTATACGTACATTGTATGTGGTGCTTGAAGCCAATAAGTTTCAAAATACTTGTTTGCCTTCATTTGGTTCATATGAGATCCTTCACTGCTCAATGACTTAAATCATTCAAGTTTCTCTTTCTCTCTCTCTCTCTGAACTGCAGCCTGCAGGACAGACTAATCAGCTGTATAGGCAATCTTGATATTTCCTAAGTTCATTGTACACAAATGTGTATTTAGTTAATTTTTTGTTTTGTGCTTCATCATCTTCCCTGCATCGATCTCTCTGTTTTGTGAACTACAGCCATGGGAACTCAAGCTCCAAATGATGATAACTCTTTCATTCCCACATCGGCTCCTGCTGATTACGAATCGTATAAACCCACTAATGTAAAGACTCTCTTTCTCTCTCTCTCTCAGTTCAATCCTGCCGGACTCCCCATCCATATGATGCAATTGATGTTTTATCATATGTTGTAGATTGAAAGGACAGCAGAGGAGAAGGCAATTGATGATTGGCTTCCGATCACTTCATCAAGAAACGCAAAATGGTGGTACTCAGCTTTCCACAATGTCACCGCCATGGTTGGAGCTGGAGTCTTAAGTCTCCCTTCTGCCATGGCAGCTCTTGGATGGTATGTATTGTATCTACTCAAAAACAAATTCATTTTTCCACATATCAATTCTGTAGCAATAAAAAAAAATTTCCTATTAATTAGGGGGCCTGGTGTGGTTATACTAATACTATCATGGCTCATCACCTTATACACCTTATGGCAAATGGTTGAGATGCATGAAATGGTTCCGGGGAAGCGGTTCGATCGATACCATGAATTGGGTCAGCATGCTTTTGGAGAAAAGCTGGGACTTTATATTGTTGTACCTCAGCAGTTAGTTTGTGAAGTTGGTGTGAACATAGTTTATATGGTCACTGGAGGGAAGTCTCTGAAGAAGTTCCATGAAACAGTGTGTGGAAGCTGCCAAAAACTCAAACTTACCTACTTCATAATGATCTTCGCTTCTGTCCATTTCGTGCTCTCGCACCTTCCAAACTTCAACTCTATTTCTGGGGTCTCTCTGGCTGCAGCGGTCATGTCTTTGAGGTACACTACTACTCATCTCTTCTTCTACTCCATTCTTTTACTATCTTTTTGTCACCTAACTGATCACAATAGGTGAACTAAAATCCACTGGCCGGTACAAAATTGAGGAATACTTATTTATGTATTTCAATTTGCTGACAATTAGGTTTAATTATGATCCAAATCAGATTTGAAAACCTGGGTTTGAACATGATTCGAATTTTTGAAGGATTTTATGTTTATAAACCGTATCTGAATGTTTTTAAAACTTGAATTTGAATCCAATAATCCATGAATTTGATTTTTACAATCTATATCCGAATTCATTAAAATTATCTAACTTGAACAACTCAATTATAATTTGATTTTAGCAATTCAATTCAAAATTTTAATATAATTTCATCAAATAATCATTTGTTGTCATCGTATGCCTAAACACTTGTATACTTGTATATAGACAAATATTTCATATTTGTGCTTTGGGAGAAAATATTCATTACAACGGTGATATTACGTGGAAGTGTTGACGTGATATTACCAACTAATAATAAAACACCAAGTGAGTACAGTGAACCCTACTTGGATAATTATTTGATTACGTGAAGGAAAAATGTATAGTTATTTGTTTACATAGAAGATTGATTATTAATTTTAGTAGAGTCTATTTGCTTATTTGTTTTCATATTATTGGTTGGTGATACTACGTCCACATTACTAACATGGTATCACAGTTGTATTCAATATTTGCTCTTGTTGTGGATCCACAAAATCCATGTAGTGTGGTATTACATGTCTGGATTTAGACTCGAGACTAATTCATATTTTGAGTAATCAAATTCGAATAAAAATTTGATTCATTTAATAATTGTGCTGGAATACCTCCGTTAATTTACAATTTTACTTGTGAACACCCCAATTGAGTAGAATTATTGCAAAAAGATTAAAGGCTGTGTCCCCTATGTACAGACTATATAGGTTAAATTACCTAATCCTATTTCATCTACATAAATCAAGAGGTTTGGCTAATGTTGTTATGATACAGCTACTCAACAATCGCTTGGACAGCCTCTGTTCATAAGGGTGTGCAAGAAGATGTGCAATATGGCTACAAAGCAACCACCACACCAGGAACTGTGTTTAACTTCTTTACTGCTTTGGGCGATGTGGCTTTCGCCTATGCCGGCCACAACGTCGTCTTGGAGATCCAAGCAACCATCCCTTCTACACCTGACAAGCCTTCAAAAGGACCAATGTGGAAAGGAGTGCTCATAGCATATTTCGTCGTTGCCTTGTGCTACTTCCCCGTTGCCCTGATTGGGTATCGGATGTTTGGGAATTCAGTCGAAGACAATATACTCATCTCCTTAGAGAGGCCTGCATGGCTTATTGCAATGGCTAACATGTTCGTTGTTGTCCATGTAATCGGAAGTTATCAGGTAGCTATCAATCCAAAATTGTACTTGGATTACCTCTCATGCGGATCAATGTCCACAGAGACTCAACAAATTCTCTTCTTGATTTGTGTTAGTGTAGATATATGCCATGCCAGTCTTTGACATGATAGAAACCGTGCTGGTGAAAAAACTGTGGTTCAAACCCAGCACTACACTACGGTTTATTTCGCGGAACATTTACGTGGGTCAGTAAATTTTCTACCCAACTATTTCAAAAAAAGATTGGATAGATATGAGGGTGAAATTCATTTGATTATAAGCTGGAGTATTCTTCTTTCTTTGCAGCACTTACAATGTTCGTAGCCATTACCTTCCCGTTCTTTGGTGGTCTTCTGGGGTTTTTCGGGGGATTTGCTTTTGCCCCAACAACATACTTTGTAAGCCAAACAATCTAACATGACACCTTTCTTGCCTTTTTTTTTTTTTGTGCTTATTGACCAACAATGACGATATCTCAAATTGGCAATCTGTATTGTATATATTTTTCCAGCTTCCTTGCATCATGTGGCTTGCAATTTACAAACCAAAGAAGTTCAGCTTATCTTGGTGTGCTAACTGGGTAAGAATTATTTACAAATCAATCACTTTTCTGTTGATTTGACAAGAAGAAAAAGTTGATTGATTCTGTTTTGGCTTTGATGAACTACAGATTTGCATCACACTAGGCCTTCTGCTAATGACTTTATCACCAATTGGAGGGCTAAGGAATATCATAAACCAAGCCAAGAACTACCATTTCTACTCTTAAAACATCTCCCAACACCAAAAAGGATTTATGTTAATGCAATAAGATTGACTTTTTATGATAGGATGTGGGTGCAATAAGAGTGAGTTTTCACCAGTTCTTGCTGGAATGATGATGGAGTATTGTTTTTTCCCTATTTTTATGGCCGTGGCTATAAGCTATTCAAGAGATATCGACTTGCATTTTGGCCATGGCAACATCTAAAAGCTCTGTTAATTGTGCACTGGAATCAGCTGAAAGCAAATCATACTGATTTCTTTGTAATCTAAATTGTGTTTACACTTCCCTTCATGTTTCTTTTTCGCGTAGGTGTGGTGAAACTGTTAATTCATCCTCGTGTTTTGGTGGAATTAGCTTGTTGAGATAATCTCACAGTAATCCCATCCTAATCATAAGAGGACGATGCCACCAGCAAGCAACCCCCCCCTTTTTTCTTTCTCCTCCTGCCAGGAATTCAGGTGGTTGCTTTGATCAACTACACTACCCTGTTAAAGGGTGTGCCAAGTTAGATACCACACATGTTAGATTTGCTGATCATATGTTTGTGCTTAGAGAGGTAGATAAAAAGTCTACTCAATATATGAAGAATGCTTTTAATTTGAACTCCTTGAGGGTTTAAAGCTCAATATACATACAAGTGCCTATGCTGCATATCTTGGAGAGGCTAATGGTTAATCTGTTTTGGGTATGGCCGAGGGAAAATTGCAGGAGTAGTTCATTTTGGGAGTGCCTCTTACCACCACTAGATTGAGTATAAAAGATCGCAAAAGGGGTGGTGGTGGTGGACAAACTTCTAGTCAGAATGAAGATTTGGTGGATAAGGTCTTGAATTGGATTTCATTTTTTCTTATAATAGTTGTTGCTTCCTCTAATTCATTAAAATCTCCAGGTAGGCTGGCTGAGAAAATTGGTTGGGTAGTCATGCACTGGACATCTACATTGAATGCTTACTTGTTCACGTCAAAGTGCCACCGAGGTTTCCAATGTAGGAGAAATCACAGTTTCACAAACATCGGAACCATAAGTAAAAAGAGGATAATGAAGAAAAACCTGGGAGATGGAAATCCTGTCCTGGGCCCCTAACTCCATCAAAATATCACTCTACTAAAGAGGTATGATTGGGAAATCCAACTGCCATCTTAGTGCATTAATAAAGAGCAACATAAAAATAAATGTTGTAACCACCTTTGTTGGCCAAAGCTACCTACCCTAACACAACCCATTCCCACCATTTTAACCTGAAACTTTAATGTTGGCAAATGGTAACTTCATAAAACCTAAACTTTTTGGCTGTCGTTTTTGGGAAGGTAAAATGTTTCAGCTTGCTACCAAACAAAGAAAACTAGTTTCTTAATTTTTTAGTTGTTCCTTATCGGTTTCCAATTCCTTTTTATTCTTGCAAACCAATGAATGACTAAGCTTCAAACAGAAAGCATGTCACCAACCACTGCCTGTGACATATGACAAGCAAAACCAATTTTCCAAATTCTAAGACCGTTCTAATTCTACCAACAAAATGAATTATGTATTTCTGCTTTAGCCTCTTCCAAGAAGCTAACGACCTCTATACTTTACAATGAAGAAAAGGGCTACACCATATGTTTGGTTGAGACGATAGTCTTCTCTTTCAGATGGCCAAAGCAGAACTTAGCTATAAGTTGTAAGCAAGGCAGTTGTACTGACACAGACTCTTTCATTGACTTGTGGAACAACAATAGTAACAAGGGTAAGATTTTGTACCGAAATTTACAAATACAAAAAGGGCAAGTTACAACTCATTTGAAATAAAATTACCACTCAAAAATATCAGTTACAACTAAATGAAATCAAGTTTTGACACAAAAAAGTTGGGATCAATTTTAAACAATTTTATTTTGTAGTAACCTCCCAGATTGAATAGAGTGGTATCCTAATCCATATGTTATCGTAACTTTGGGTATAGTACCCGAAAAGTTGCATTAGAATTTGTGAAAAATCTTCAACAAGGAGCTACTGAAACTACCAACGTAATTTGAAATATTTCAACAACTACAGGGATAAGGAAAAAGCAAACATACTCATCGCATCAATAAACAACAACTATGGTACATACAGAGCATTAAACGTAAATCCGTTGAAGCAAATGAGTTTATTGAAAATTTTCAACTAATTCAGAACGAAACCAATGGTATTAAGCTACCAGCACTACCATGGATACAACTTACAAAGAACCCCAAAACCAAAACCCATTTGTTATGTCATCTAATTTTCTTCCCAAGTTTTCTCTTTCTTTCCCTATACAGGTCAACCCAGAGATTAGAAACCCACAGTATACTAACCGAAATAGCCATTCCAACTACAATAATCCAAGAAACCCAAATCCATTTGGGAATCACCTCATCTGCAGCCCCACTCAAATAAAACACAAACATATTGTACAAAAATAGCGGCCCAGCGAAACCCCTAGCAACAGAATACAAAGCATAAAACGGAGGAGACAAAAATTCATACACTTTGGCGGCGTAATCCAAATCCTTTCTCCGAGCACCGGCGAGAGTCCAGGCGTTCTGGCAAAAGCTCGTGACCTCCGCAAGAATTAGAAGGACAAGAATTGCATAAGCCCCATGAAAAACCACGTACCGGCACGTGATGAAGACGAAGAGTGTTGCCAAATGGTGGCCGATGAAGAGAATATCACTAGGATAGAACATTAAATAGTGGAAAAGGTCCATCAGAAAATATGCAATGCTATAATCGAGAACTAGGTTTTGGTAACCGGTGTTTTTGGAATCGAAACTGCGATTTGGATAGGATAAAATGGACTGAGAGGCTAAGAAAACGGCGGGTGTGCCGTGGGCCAGGGAAATTGCACAGCTTGAAGCTTCGGGTCGTAGCTTATGGTTCCATTTACGGAAGATAATGAAGTAGGCAGTGAGGTAGACGATTAGATACATTGAGATGAAGAGAGGGAGAGTTGGGAGAGATAAAATTAGGGCTGGGTTTTCCATGTTGAAACCTAATTGATCTGGGTTAAGGACGAATGGGGGTTTGGATTTGGAAGAGTTTGAATTAGCTAGCGTTTAAGGTAATTAAGAGTTGAAGAGTAGAGGAGAAAATAGAGACTCTAAGTAACAATTTGAGGAGATCCTATAAGTCTATATATAGTGAGGGAGAGAGGGACGTAGTTGGGACTTGGAAGGTGGGAGCGTTGGCGGTGGATGAGAAAATTGCACAGTGAAAGATCGTATTCGTACATTTCGAGGAGTTTAAGATCACTCTCCTCGAACGGAGCTACAGCACCTTCAACAACAAAATTTATTTTAATTATTCAAAAAATAATATTTTTTATTTTAACTATTTATTTTTTTAATACATATTTTAACAAATTTTTTATGTTTTTAACTACTTTTTTTAAATATTATTTCTCATCCTTTTTGTATTATTTTTTTAAAAAAAATAGTGAAAGAGAAAAAGAAAAAAAAATAGAACAAAAAGAAAAGAAAAGAGAAAAAATATTATAAACAAATTTTACATATTATTACAGTGATTCTCTATATTTAATTCTCTATATTTAATGTATCACTGTAGTAAAAATTTATTTTAAAATATTTGAACATATTCTGTTAAAGTATAAATTTTTGTTTTAATTAACTAAATTTTAATTATTTTTGTGCTTTACAGAATCTCCCGGAGATGTTCTAACTCGGCGTAAGATTGCAGACATCCATGACTGGTTGGTTCAACTATGTTTCTTGTAATTTTCACCCACACCCTATTGATAGACTTAATTATGACGATATCCGATTTTTTTTTTTTTGAAAAAATTTCAGCCGCACCCATTTTTAATTTATTATATCTTCAAGGATATTTTTTTTATTATCAAAAAATCACTTACACCCATACTAATTTATATTTAAACATCACCGACATCTCTTCATCAAAACACCATTTACAGCAAAAATAAATTATCTAAAAAACTAACCCCAAACAATTTTTTTTTACGTAAAATTCAAGTCAATTAAAATTTATTTTTTACATATAAAAATTTGAACTGATTAATTTTTTTTATATATTAAAATTTAGTTCGAGTTGATTAAATTTTATTTTTTTATTTATTAAGATTCAAGTATATTAAAAACTTTTTTTTACATATTAAAATTCGAGTCGGTTTGAGCTATACTTGAACTGTTAGTTCCAATTAAAATTCGTTTCAAGTCAATTAAAATTGATATTTTTTATATATTAAAATTTGATTCAAATTGATTAAAATTTATTTTTTGCACATTAAAATTTCAGTCGATTAAAATTTATATATTTTTTATTAAAATTCGGGCCGATTTAAATTTAATACAAGTTAATTAAAATTTAATTTGAGACTCGAATAGAATTTTAATCATCTTAAATTTTAATACATAAAAAAATATAATCTTTAATTGACTAAAAGTTAATAAAATTGCATTCTAATTAACACATCTAATTTGACGAGGATGTCAGTGATAGTTTAGAAAATAGAAGGAGTATTCTTAAAGATATAATAAACTAAAAGTGGTGTAGCCAAAATTTTCCTATTTTTTTCTTAAATGTGTTCATCGACTATTCTCTCGAACTTGGATATTAACTACCGTAACTCAAACAAATTTAGAACTTGCCCCCTAATAAATAAGAGTGACTGTGATACGTTCAAATAATTATAAACTCTAACTCCCCACATATTCTGGGGCTTTAGGATCAACGATTGGATTCATAACAATTGGTATCAAAGAAATTATCACATCACGAGTTCGAGTTATGTAAGGGCTTAATATTATGTATGGATATAGTACTATCGCATTGAATACTGGTAGGTGCTGTAGACTTTAACTCTAAATGTGGTGGAATATTACGTTCAAATAGGTACGAGCCACTACAACAAAAAATATTTTTTGTGACGATATTAAATTTGTCGCAAAAAGTTTACTATTCGCGACAATTTTCTAATTTTATCGCAAATTTCTATTTTGGTAAATTTTTTTGCGACGTTTTTAAA